AAACCGGGTTTCTCGATTTCTGAGACCAAAAAAATTCGACCCAAAATGGATTTTGGTACCACAGGTAGCCATAGGGGGAGATCTCCGAGACCAAAAAAATTCGACCCAAAAATGGATTCTGGTACCTGTTAAAATTTGCCAATTTTGCCTTTTTTGAAAATCCAAACTTTGCAGCTTCACCACGGACAAACCACTTGAGATAGGAAGTTGAAATTTACACAGCACCTAGTTTGAAATCTTAGCTTTGTAATGCCGCAAACCGCGATTCCATAGCTGCTCTACCAAGAAAGTTCTGGGCGATTCCGTTTTGCTCATGAAAATCAGGCTTTTTTGGCACTTTTTAGCAAAATAAAAAAGTTCTCAGAATCAAGTTGTATGGGCATTGGAGGACTCCTAGGGAAGCACCGAGTCCAAAAAACCAGGTTACATCGATTTCCAAGACCCAAAAAATTCGACCCAAAAGTGGATTTTGGACCCACAGTTAGCTACCTGTTGAAATTGACCAATTTTGCTTTTTTTCAAAATCCAAATTTTGATGCTTCACCACGGCCAAACCAGTTGAGGTAGGATGCTGAAATTATGACACAAAATACTTTCAAATGTTAGCTTTGCAATGCCGCAAACCACGATTCTATAGCTGCTCTACCAAGAAAGTTCTAGGTGATTCCGTTTTGCACATGAAAATCAGGCTTTTTTGGCACTTTTTCGCAAAATAAAAAAGTTCTCAGAATCAAGTTTTATGGGCATTGGGGGACTCCTAGGGAAGCACCGAGTCCAAAAAACCAGCTTATTTCCAAGACCCAAAAAATTCGACCCAAAAGTGGATTTTGGACCCACAGTTAGCTACCTGTTGAAATTGACCAATTTTGCCTTTTTTCAAAGTCCAAATTTTGATGCTTCACCACGGCCAAACCAGTTGAGGTAGGATGTTGAAATTTTGACACCAAAAATTTCAAATGTTAGCTTTGCAATGCCGCAAACAGCAATTCCATAGCTGCTCTACCAAGAAAGTTCTGGGCGATTCCGTTTTGCTCATGAAAATCAGGCTTTTTTGGCACTTTTTCGCAAAATAAAATAGTTCTCAGAATCAAGTTTTATGGGCATTGGGGGACTCATAGGGAAGCACCAAGTCCAAAAAACCAGGTTACATCGATTTCCAAGACGCCAAAAATTCGACCCAAAAATGGACTTTGGACCCACAGTTAGCTACCTGTTGAACTTGACCAATTTTGCCTTTTTTCAAAATCCAAATTTTGATGCTTCACCACGGCCAAACCAGTTGAGGTAGGAGGCTGAAATTTTGACACAAAATAATTTCAAATGTTAGCTTTGCAATGCCGCAAACCGCAATTCCATAGCTGCTATACCAAGAAAGTTCTGGGCGATTCCGTTTTGCTCATGAAAATCAGGCTTCTTTGGCACTTTTTCGCAAAATAAAAAAGTTCTCAGAATCAAGTTTTATGGGCATAGGGGGACTCCTAGGGAAGCACCGAGTTAAAAAAAACCAGGTTACATCGATTTCCAAGACCCAAAAAATTCGACACAAAAATGGATTTTGGACCCACAGGTAGCTGTTGAAATTGACCAATTTTGCCTTTTTTGAAAATCCAAACTTTGCAGCTTCACCACGGCCAAACCAATTGAGATAGGATGATGAAATGTTCA